CTTACCCACTGGGTAACGTTCATGAATACGGCCACTGGGCAGAATCAGTGTTTATTCTGCGCGCGTTCTGCTACACAAGCAGGCAAGCCGATAGTCTGGCGCCTACCTAAGTATGATTGTGCCCGCTGAGCACATTCAAAGTCAGTGGTTCAGCAAAGTGGACTCCTGCTGGATTTGGTAATGTTAGGTAGTAGAACCCCCAAATACACCGTACCCCCAACCTCACCCTCTAATCCATGCGCTAAGTCTTGTAAAGGAGCTTCATAACTCCACCACTGCCCACTTCCAGTGAGTGGGCGTCATTGGTGGAGTTTTGGTAAGCGCTTCTTCGGGACTTAGAGCATGAATTGGAAGGGGTTGGGCCTATGGTGTGCGTGGGGGCTTACTACCTGAAACTACCAAAATCTGACAGGGGTCCATTTGTCTCAACCACTGCTTTTAAGCCGTATGACGCAAAAAGGGCGTTCTGGCTTTTCCCTCGGAATATTGTGTAGATGTCTCAACCAGCTTTTGTTTTAGCAGTGCGCGTTTTATCAAGACTTGAACATTTAGAGGCTTTGCGGATGCGCTACAAATGGAGCTTGAACCGTACAATATCAACATCTCGGTGCTTTGCCCGCCTAACACGGATACGGATTATTTTAGAGTATGTTCATCGTGCCGTTCTATTAATTTTTGATTTGCTGAACTTTTCCATTGTCTGTTCTTTTCTTAGAGTTTCCACACTACAACGATGCCTGTAATTATGCGAAAAATGACTGCAGTTGCTGGATTGGTGTCAGCTGAGGAAGTTGCCAGAGCTCACATTAGAGACATAGAAAGTGGCAATTACTTGACCACAAATGGTTTGATGGGATGGTTCTTAGGTTAGTAAATCAGCATTGTTCGAGTCTAAAGACTAATTTGCAGGTCTGGTCACGGCTGGGGCATCTCCGGAGAGAAGTATGTTGCAAGCCCTTGCTCAGGTAGTATGAATGCATTGCATTGATTTCTTTCGTAAATTCATTCTTCAGTTCTATTTGAGTGCATTGGGACGAGTAGGTATTCTCGCCGTTGTTGGATATTTCAACTCACTCTCTAGAGAACATGCCAATATGAGGAGAAAAGAAAGTGAACATGCTTCGTTGCCTGGCGCAAAAATCCATTCATAGTTTGCTCAATTTCGACTATTCCACGCTGCCCTTAAAGGCAGTGGCTCGGGAAAATCGCGACTGCGCTTTCCACACTTACATGGCTTTCTGGACCAACCGAGTCCGATGGTGTGTTTGAAAATCCGAAAATATGCTTTTTTGGCGTTTCCCGGCCTCAAAGATTGCTGCAGAGGCGGGG